TTAGTTCTTGGGGGTTGGACCTACCTGGACCTACTTACTAGTTGGGTTGAACCACCACGTAAACTAACCTTGACTGCGTAAATTACTGACTGGGTCAGTTTGTATTCAAAACAAAGTGTATATAATGTTCGGTCCAGCTGTCGACTTGGATACACCATTCAATCCGGCAGCGAGTAGTCCACTTAGGCAAAGGAGATACCACAAATAAGTAATGTGGGTAAAACAATCATAAACCATCCCCCAGTCATCACCATTTTTTATAGGTGGTATAAATTTATGTTTACCATTCCCAGTCATGGGTGGTTTATGGCATTGTTTTACCCCACAATACCCCACATTAATGAATCCCATTAAATCCCATCTAAATCCATATACACCCGTGATACCTCTCCCACGTGCTCTCAGCCACCGATATTTAGGCGCTTATTGGTGTTGAGACTTTGGACTGGCGAGGTTGGGAGTTCGGAGATTTTTTGTGGATACAAAAACAGAGCCTGAGAAATTAGGACATCTCAATTGTTGGACATGAAGAAAAGTTATGGAGATCTTTGTTATGATGTGTTTGTTCCTGTTGAATATAAAATTGGTTGCCTCAGCGCATCAAACAGAATCATATGTCGGATAATCATAGCGTCGAGTTCTTGTTCAGTGAGTTTTTTGAACATGTTTCCTGTTGCCCACATGTTCTTTTATTTTCTGGGGATATTCCTTGAATTTAGGTCTGAAAAATAGGACTTGTATGTTATGGCAGGTACCTCCAATCAATCGGTTCCTGAAATGGCCATTGAGTTGGGTTTTGGAATACAATGAAATACCCAAATCACCCACCCCCCAAATTCACTTTGGATTGTGTGGAATATAGCCACATACATTGCTGGAACTAGATGGACTTGCCATATATATATATATATCCTGCTCAAAGTTAAACTTTTGGAAGGGATCATCACATTTGCAAGTGGAAAGTGAAAACTTAGGTGTCGCGAAGACGATTCTACTACTGGTATGTATCAGAGTACAAACCGGGATGTTTTTTGGTTCATAAACCCCGTTTCACTAGTTTGACACACCTACCACAAAGCCAACAGTTTTACTAGTGAACTAAACCAACATTGCTAATAAACTGGAGAACCAGCTTGTAGATGGTGAAAACTTTTATATGTTGATTGTTGAAATTCTTATATGATGGGATAAACTCTTATACCCCATCAAATCCCACTGCATTCCCATCAACAGTAATTGAAAGCAAAAGTTCAATGGCTAAATCCCAATTTTTGACAAAGAACGCGCACCGCCCATCTGTATCAATATCAATTGTTCATATCTCCATATGCTGGTGAAAATCCCAATGAAACATCATAAAGGATGCTTAAATCCCCATGATATTCCATGAACATCCGTGATTTTTCCAGCTATAACCCTCCATTGATCAGATTTTCCCATGTGTTCCTACCAGTCGTGGGGCCCCCGTGGCCACGAAATCACTAAGTTGGTGCCTAGATAACTCCAATTTTTCTATGGTTTATGATACGCAAATAACTATATACAATAGGGACCTCCCCAGTTATAAACTGGTGTTTAAACCCCATTAATACTCTAGTTGCTTGCGTATCATAAACCATAGTAAAATTGGAGTTATTTGCACCAACTTAGCTATTTCGTGGTCACGAGGCCCCACGACTGGTATGATTTTCCCAACTTGAAAGTTCATTTTGTAACGGAGATTTTCCCTATGCCTGGCAGGTCTTGGCCACTTTGGATGCCAGCTCTTGGGTGCCTTTGTTGCCAGGACCAGGGCCTGGATGGAACAGATGGGGGTTTCCTAAACTATGATCGATGGAAAGGTATTCACCCAGAAATATAGTAAAAGTTATAATAACCATATATTATCATTATATATATAATATATATATACATATATATATATACATATATATATATATAACCATTCACCAGCTATTATCATAGTTGATGGCTCACATGGGGGGTTCCAAAAGTGGGGGTCACCCAATAGCTGGTTGGTTTACAATGGAAGGAAACTTGCATATGCAGGGTCAACCTTTGTTAGATACTTTAATCTTTTGCTATCCGTTGTATGTTTTTTTTTTGAATTGTACTAACCGGCTTAAAATTTGTTTTTCTGGTGGGAATCTAAGATTCACCATGTATACAGGGCTTGGTAAATATCCTGGTTAGGGGATTTTTTAAACATCACTTTGAAGTACCTGTTGAAGATTGTATCTCCAACAGTTGGTTGATGTGAAAAAATAGTACATATACCAAGCCCTGATATAGGTTAAACGGTTAAACCAACAAACATGATGTATGTAAACATGCCCTGTAAAGCGATGTTTGTAGTCTGTACACATATTTGTACTTCGGGGTACCCCAGTAATATATGCTTATACATGGAGGTTCCTAAAATGGTACCCTAAAAACGTCCAAACTTCTTGATTACCAACGGGAAAACCAATGGCCTGGGGCACCTGGAGACCTCCAACTGGGTTTAACCAACACAAGTGATGAATTTGGTGATTTTGTGTTTTCCTTTATGTGGGTCCTGAATAAAATTTCACAATCCAAAAAAATGTGGTTTTATGATGGTTTATGTTTTTTTTTCATATGAAATTAGAGATGGGATTAATACCCTAGAGTCTTAGGGGGTGTGTCTGTAAATGGAGTATACCCATGGTATGCCACCAAAAAGCCTTGTCAGTGTGGACAATGATGATTCAACATGGGATTTGCGCATACGTACCCCATTATCAGACAATTAAGGTGAGACATGTAGAATACCACTGGTTGGTTTCTATACGGGGTTTTTAAAAAAATGTGTGGGTTATTGGTGATTATATGCCATAGTCGGGATTCCAAACACATGGTGGGATATACAATAACATGTTGGTATTGTATCATATTGGATATATAGCATCTGGGTGATTACCATATTGATGCTGATTAAATCACCATGTATATTAATCATAATGGATCACCATATTGGATATTAAATCAAAGTGTTTAACTAGGATTATATCATATCATATCCAATTTTCAACATGGTGATTATATCCCGATGCTTTTCAATGACATCATATTTTATCATCTGGATTATATATACCATTTGGATTATATCATCATATCCCAATAACATGATGTTTTTCAATTCTGCTGGGATGTTCCAATCAGTTAGATGCTCTTCCTTCATGGATCGTTACAAGTCGTTTCGATCATCCAGCGAGGCCTCAATCGGATGCTCGATGGAACATGATCTCAACGGGGGATGTTGTTCAGATGTTTTTTGTTTTAATATGTAAACCATCTATCAATGGGTAGGATGGTAGGGTAGGATATAACTGGTATAAGCCCGGTTATATCAATGTGAATTTCTGTGACCCTCTGGTAAACATACCAAAAACTATAGAAAATCACATGTTTTAATAGGTAAGCCATCTATTTCTATGGGCCATAGCTGCCATAGCTATGTTATCAAACACAATTTTTCATCCCATGTTCATTTCAATGGGAATTTCAGGATCCTAAAATGGAGGTACTGACTGTACCATCTTGTTGGCCATATGAATTGTGGGGATATCCCCTGAAATTTAGGCCTGACAAATAGGCCAAAAATATATGATAGGTACCTCCAATCAATCGGTTCCTGACATGGCCATTGATGATCTGCAGGCTTGAACGGCTGACTTTTTGTGCAGCCTGGACCAATATAGGAATCCTAGCCAAGTTGCTCTAGAATCTTGTATAGGGCTTGCAGATCGGACTGACATCATATGTTTTGCCGGATCTTTGTTTGGTAGTGCGGCCATGGTATCACTTGCAGAGTTGTCTCTTATGACCTGCCAGAGTTTGAATCACAAGGGTCCAGGGATAGGACTACTTTAGGTTACAGACGATACTACCACTGGGACAGGCCGAAAAAGCAGTGAACTCTATATTCAACGGGACTAATTATCTCGACCTCCCACAAAATGATGCCAACAACATTGGCATGTTTTTGGGAATTATACGGTATACTGTACTCAATTTTCAGACACACCCTAATGATATCATATCATGTTGTTGAAAATGTACACGTATAAAATGTGCGTATATAAACGTATATATAATTATATATTATATATATATACACTGTATATACACATGATTATTTCTATATATATATATGGCACCCCCCCTAAAAGTCTACCATTTTAAGCTTCATAAGATTGGACTGGGGGTGCCATATATAAATACATTGTAAATAGGCCTTCAAAAACTGCCTGTAAAAGCCTTGCTTGATCTGTGAAGTTCAGACTTGAAGTTCAGACTTGATGTTCAGACTTGATGTTCAGACTTGAGTTCAGGCTTGGGAATCTTCAATCCCAGATTGAAGATTGAAGATTTTCCAGGACTCTCCCTGGAGAATCTTCAATCCCGGATTGAAGATTGAAGATTGAAGATTTTCCAGGACTCTCCCTGGAGAATCTTCAATCCCGGATTGAAGATTGAAGATTTTCCAGGACTCTCCCTAGAGAATCTTCAATCCCGGATTGAAGATTGAAGATTGAAGATTTTCCAGGACTCTCCCTGGAGAATCTTCAATCCCGGATTGAAGATTGAAGATTGAAGATTTTCCAGGACTCTCCCTGGAGAATCTTCAATCCCGGATTGAAGATTGAAGATTTTCTCCTGGATTAAAGATTCTCCAACAAGAGTCCTGAGGAATCTTCAATCTTCAATCTGCAATCCAGGATTAAAGATTCTCCAACAAGACTCCTGGGGAATCTTCAATCTTCAATCTTCAATCCTGGATTGAAGATTCTTAACAAGGCGCCTGGGGAATCTTCAATCTTTAATCTTCAATCTTGGACCTCAAGTCTGAGGAGCTTTTGCACTTGAGGGATATGGTCAATCTTTGTCAAAGGCTTGCGTCTCCACCTTCACTCCACAGTTTGTAGCTCTCGGCCCGAAGCATTGCCACTCTGCCTCCAGTCAACATACAGGACAAGATGTCAGTGCAAGGCCGTGTCACCTTGAAGGACAACCAGGCATTGGTAGTGTTGAATGTCGCCACCAACAACAACCAAGCGGAGGAGAGGCCAAGGTCCGACTTGGAAGCGCTGCTGAACAGAGCTTTGCGACAGGAGGTGCCGGTGCACCCAACCCGGCTCCCACTCCTCCGCAAACACCTGGCGGCGATGGTCTGCAACGTCCAGAAGGGGCTCCACTTGGACCCCGTGGGCTTGCACGGTGCCTGGAATGCAGCTGCAGAACAAAGGCTGCTGGAGTGCTTGACAAAGCCAAAGAGGGTGGTGACTCCGAAGCCAGTCGTCCCAGCCATTGCAGCACCTGCACCAGTGCTGGCCTTAATTTTCATCTCAAGAGCAGAGTGTGTTCTTCTTAAACTTCCTGTTCCGCACCCCCAGCACACATGCATGCTCTTACTAAGGTCCTTCAACTTGAAGATGGCAAGGTGTCCGGTTCCTCGTCTACTTCGGATTCCTCCTATTCGGATTCCTCCTCTTCTACGTCCTCGGAGGAAGAGGCGATGCCGGAGTATGTTCCCAACCCATCCTTGCCGCCGCCTCCAGAGTATCCTTCTGACGATGAGTACGGTATGCCAAACCCTTCCTTGGGCCCACAGTCTGAAGTCCTCACGGATGACGAGTACCTGGCGCCCCCAGCTCCAGCCGCCCCCTGCGAAGAGAGCCATGAACGTCCAGCCAAGTGCCAGCGGTGCCAGGAACGGGAAGAAGAGTTTTGGTCTTTGGCTGAATCCCACCAGCTCATTGCGGAATGGTTAGAGGCAGCTGAACAGGAGAATGCTCGGTTGCGGGCCCAGAGGTGAGCTTGAGCGAGGAAGCACTGCGGAGGAAAAAGCGTGTTGAAGTGTTGCGGTGCTGTGAAGCACAGTCTGACCCGTCACGTGCACATGATTCTGGCATCTGGGGGTGTAGAGCTTGTATACCTATGATAAAAATTTCCAGCTGGACTAGATAGGGCTATAGACTATCCAGGTTCAGATTTGATGTTCAGACTTGATGTTCAGACTTGACGTTCAGACTTCATGTTCAGGCTTGATGTTCAGACTTGATGTTCAGACTTGATGTGCAGGCTTGAATTTCATGCATGGGAAGAAAGAGTTGGAGATTATGGTATGTCTGCAACACCTTCGCATCTTCATCTTTCTGAGCGCTGCAGTTTCCTTTGTCCCATCAAGGTGATAGATTCCGCCCTGCCTGTTCCTTGGTCATGGCTGCTTTGATCGATGAGGCCATGAACACCTTGGGCGGCAAGGAGTGGCATTACGAGACGCGCTCTGAGCCTTGCTGCGCCTTCAAAAAGATTGAAGACATTGGGAAGCCCTTGACTGTCCAGGACCTTCTCACATGCTGCCGGCCTCCGACGGGTGTGAAAAGCACGATGATGCTCTTGGATGTGCATCTGTCCGTCCAGCTGTCCGAAAGCCCTGAAGCCATTGCTTCAACCTTGCAATCTCAACAAGTGGATGACCTACCTGCCCCTTTGAAATTCAAAGAGAGGGTGCCATCAGGAGCCAAAATCGGTGGCATTGTGATTGAACAAGCGCCTGGCTGCTTGAATGTCATCAAACTCGTCTTTTTCAAGGCTACCATGAGTACAGGACAGGCTACGAAAATTGCATCTGGGTCTGCCTACCTTCCGTTCTTCCGCGCAGGCCCTTGGGCAGTCAAGAAGGCATTTCAATCCTTGCTCGATAGAGTGCCAGGGCATCATGTCCAATGGAACGTAGTCTGTCAGAAAGAGAAGGTTGCCAAGCCCGCTTCATCATCATCGACCTGGTCTCCAGATGAAGACGTCCTTCGGCAAGGTGTGGCGTTCATCAACGAAAACGCGCCAGAAAGTGACGCTCAGAATGAGCAGTACACGTGGATCTTGTTAAACATCAAGGAGGATTCGGAAAGCCCTATTGCAGGGTGGCCAGAAACCAAGGTTCGCTTGATGGCTCAGAACAAGAGCCGAGCCTCAAGCGGTGCCACCTTGCAACGGGAGTTTCCTTTGACCACCTTCTCTTTGAAGCCATTCCTGGCGGAGGCGTTGCTGCCCCTGCTGTATCCCCTCTTCATTTGCTATGGGGTCTTGTGCATTGGCTGGCCTGGAGTGGGAAAGACACCAGCCTTGATCTCTATGCTATTGGCCATGGGCCGATACCACATCCACCGGTTACAAGCAGATGGCGTGCCTGGATGGAGGCGTGCTAAGTCCTTAGACAATTTCAGGCATCAAATCGGCCAGGTCTACGAGGGCATCTTTCTGGATGATCCGCACCATGACAGCATTTCCATAGCAGACTTGAAGTCTTTTCTCACAGTGGAGGAGGAGCAGACAACATCAGGCCGCTACAATGATGCGAAGCTCATTCGCAACTGTATGCGCGCCTACGCTTCCAATGACTTGGACCGGTCTGACGAGCCTGAGGATGACAACCGTACTTCCATCACAGGAGAAGAGTTCCTCAAGCTGACTCGCCGGATCTTTGCAGGTGACAAGCATGCTGATGTCCTTGCTTGCTTGAAGCGGGCAGTGGTCATCATCCTCGGGCTCCATGCTGTATACCTGCGCCTGCCCAGTCAGGATCCTACTTCCAAGGTGCATCGCATCAAGGTGGATGACCTCCACCGAGACCTTTTGGCTGAAAAGGACAAGCCCCTCTACTCCAAGTACAAGTTGGGCATTTTGGAGTATGGCCCCGAATGGGAAGGAGAAACTGAACAAGAAGTGCGTATGATCTCTGAAGGGCTGGAGAGGTTTGCTGCAGGAAGGCCAGAGGCATACATTGAGGTTGTGAATGGAAAAATTGAGGAACAACTTTGGAGCCATTTGCCACCGGTGCCGCCGGTCCACCTTCCTGATAGGCCATCGGGTGCTTCGTCAGACAGTGGCGATGATCAAGTTATGCCCCCTCCTTCCATCATTGTGCCTGACCCATTTGGGCACATTCACATACCCGCCTACCAAAAGGTACAGAACCAAGAGCAGTCAAGAAGAATCTCATCACCCAAGTGCTTCAGTGGGAGTGGAGGATACTGATGCAGCTGCTGCCCTTGCATCTCTGGAAGCCAATGCTCAAGATGCCGAAGAAGCCTTACAGATGCCAGAAGACCTGGGCGAGGATCTTGCTGAGGAAGACTTCGCTGCGGATGAAGAAGCTGCCGCAGTCATGAGGGGGGCCTAGACTTGTTAAACTGTTTCAAGACACAGCTTGACATCTTCACACTGTGGCGCAGTCTTGTGTCAACTGCGCGTGAGAGTGTGCGCATGTCTGTCAATAGACTGGGAGCTTTTCTGTTGCAAGGGCAAAAAGGTTTTCAGGGTCATCACGTTTGGGCTTGTGGTTTTTCTGATGTCCCAGTGCATGTCCTAGGATGCTTGCAGTTCCAGCGTGGCTTCGCCATACACAGCTTGTGATTCTGCATTCATTGACATGACATGGCTCACAGTGCCCTTAGATAGTTAGATAGTTCTTGCTCCGCATCATTACTTGCAGTTGCGCATTCTGTCATGGTGTCCAAATTCATGAACTTCCCTGGGCCAAAGAAGGGTAAAGGTCGCATGGTGATCAAGCGCCCAGCCAGCTTGAAGACGCAATCTTGGAAACAAGTGCCGTATGTCAGAGGAATTCGTGCTGTTCCAGCCCGGGGGTTCGAAGAGAACAAGCTCACTGGCGTCGCGTCGTGCCTGAACTCCTGAAGGCCTCGGACATTGACATTGTGAAGATGCTGATCCATGACAAGATTTTGCCAGATTGGTCCGGCAAGCGTTGCCCCAAGTGCAACCGTGGCACTTTGTCTACGTTGCAAACCCATTGCAACGAGGCCAAGCCGAAATACCGATGTAGCAGCAAAGCTTGCCAGCAAAGAATCCACCCCCAGTACTTGCATCCACTTTTCCATGCTGGCAGGGGCCCTGAAGCTTTGTCGCTCCAAACCCAATCAGCCTTCTTACTTCTTGTGATTCTACCCGTGCCACTAGCTTCCATCCACCTCATCTTGGGTGTGAACCACAAGGTTGTTGAAGCCATGCACAAGAACCTGCAACTGGTCCGAAAGAAGTATGTGGTGCAGAAGGAGAAGGGCATCAAATTTGGCGCTTCTGGAAAATGGTCTGATGTCGAAGGTGATGAAGCCACCTTTGACAAGAGGGATGTCTTGTCAGACGCAGCCTGGGAGCATGAAGTGAAAGCGGACCGCTCCATGCTCTGGGAACAATGGTGCGGATTGGTTCAGAGAGGGAAGCCTCAGACACTAGTGCTTGCCCGACTCAGCCCAACATTGACAGCTACCCGGTCTCCAGGCCCCGGCCCCATCACAAAACAGGATCGGTGGCCTTTGGGCAAGAAATGGTTGGCCAACCGCTCTGTGATTTTCCACACTGACTCGGCCAAGGCGTACAAGATGAAGCTCCCTGGCGTTCTTCATGATGCGGTTGTCCACCAGAAAAAGCGTGTCAAAAAGAATGGGAAATGGGAATGGACCAAGCCAAATTTTGTTAAGATGAAAGTCCACAAGTTGCCTGGGGGAAAGACCGTGAAGGTGAAATGTGGCACCCAGCACATTGACCGCTGCTGGAAATTTATTAAGGAACGTTTGTCGAAAGGGACGAACGTTCGTGCTGGCATGGGCCGCTTGCAAGCCCAAATTCGTTCTGCCCAGTATGAGTATTGGTACCGGGGGGACGACATGTGGGTGCGCACAGGAGAACTCCTGTCCGCTTACATGTCTGAGATTGTGGTTCCTGCGTCTTGAACGCTTGTGCGCCAGGACATCACCGGTGAGAAAGAAATTGCTGCTATGCCGCCGGACATGTGCTTGATTCCTTCCTTCGTTGTGTGAGCTTCATTCCCAGTACTGGCTTGAAATTTATGCCTCCAGCTTGCCCATGATCATGCAAGTTTATTGAATGATGATTTAAGATTACAGCCCACCCATGACTTCAGAAGTTCTCACTTCTGGACTGATGACTGAAGTTTGCAGCCCACCCATGACTTCAGAAGTTCCCACTTCTGGACTGATGACTGAAGTTTGCAGCCCACCCATGACTTCAGAAGTTCCCACTTCTGGACTGATGACTGAAGTTTGCAGCCCACCCATGACTTCAGAAGTTCCTACTTCTGGACTGATGACTGAAGTTTGCAGCCCACCCATGCCTTCAGAAGTTCCCACTTCTGGACTGATGACTGAAGTTTGCAGCCCACCCATGACTTCAGAAGTTCCCACTTCCGGACTGATGACTGAAGTTTGCAGCCCACCCATGACTTCAGAAGTTCCTACTTCTGGACTGATGACTGAAGTTTGCAGCCCACCCATGACTTCAGAATTTTCCATGTGTGGACTGATGACAAAATATTATCACCACTCTAGTACAGCTGGAATCTTGAGACCCTTCCAAACTCACAAAAAAGGTAGACTTTTCAGGGGGGGGCAGCATATATATATATATATATATATACACCATGATATAATACTTGCATAAAATGCAACCTCAAGATAAGCAATCACATATCCCTAAAACATATCACGATAAATAGTTTTTTGTTAAACCAAAGGGTTCCATTAAAGCCCCAAACACTAACCATACTGAGTTGAGCCAGTTGTATGTATATTGTATGTAACAAGTTGAGGACTTACCAAGCAGGGTCATGAACTAGATAATTTATCATTATATAATATATAATATTAGGTAATATTATATCATATAAGGTCATATTATATCATTTTTTGTCATATTATATCATATTAGGTCATTAACTAGATACCATTCTTTATACTGTACCTGCTGCAGTAATCCTGATCAACAGGTCCCCCCCCACTAGGTTATTTCATGTTCATGTCGGTTACAATCCCACAAAGACAAACTGGTTTAAAAGAGTCATGAGGTGAACCTCCAAATAGGATTATTGTGTTGCGTTATATGATTTATCGTTATATGATATATCATAATATGTCATTATATATCATGATACATCATTGTTATGTATATCATTATATTTACCATTCTCAATGATTAATAACATACATTCAAACATACGTGTGTTTTTCCTATGGTTTTATATACGCAAAAATGGTTGGTTTTAAAAATCCTATCAGATCCCTTTTGTTGATGGTAAAACCTCCATTTCCTTAAGGATAAATATCAAATTTCATGGTTTCATTGCTGAAAATAGATAGGTTTAAACCCCCATGGTTCCATTAGAACATATAACTGCTGGCTTCTTTGAGGACATGATCTCCGTTCACGGCGGAGTGGCACCTTCGCCTTTGCACCTGCTCGGTGGATAGGCACGATCCGGGGGGAATCTGGGTGACTTTCATTAGGGCGGTTGGACCAGATTGGATTAAAAAGCAGCTCACCAACAAACATGGTCCAATCGAGTCATGGAGTTTCATCTCTCCAGTCATTAGATTAGATTACAAGCTATCCAAACATGGAGTTTCAGCTAGGGATCCATGTTTGGATAGGTTGTAGCTTTGTACCTTTGTAACAAGTCGCATGGAGTGACCTCAAACGGACGGATTTTTGTGGGTTCCACGGCCCCGCAAAGCGGCCATGGAATCTGTCGTTTACCGACTTGGAAGATAACCATGGGATCTTAACAAAACCTGGGGATAGCTGATAATTTTTATGATTGGTTGATGATTATTATCAGCTATCATTGATTTTACAAACCAAAAAAAATCATTATGTAAAATTTTGGTTGATGATTATTGGTGATTTTACAAACCAAAAAAAATGGAGGTTTCCGTTTCATGGGGCTACCCCAAATCATCCAGTCGTCATGGATGACTGTGACTTGCGACGCATGGTGACTTGTGGATCCCATTTGAAGAAACCCCGATATGGTGGACATTCCCCTTTGTGGATTCCGTGTTCGCTTTTTAATTTTGGGTGATCCCCGTCCCCGATAGAAAGATATACCCTCCTGGTTATGCCAACAGTTTGCTATTGAAAATGGCCCATAGAAATAGTTTATTTACCTGTTAAAAATGGTGGATTTTTCCATAGTTATGTGAACGTTTACCAGAGGGTATCAGCGCAATAAACCCAGTCATGATTTATCTACATCATGAACATGTTTCGCAGAACTCGACCAAGAGAAAATCTACCGGTAAATCCCAAGTTTGAACGGTAAACATCAATGTTGCATAATGGAAAATCACCATTGTCCATAGGTAAATCCACTATAAATGGGCCATCTATACCATGGCAAACTGTTAGTCATAACCAGAGGGTACATGTTTATACCTATAAAAATGCCTGTATTCTTTTCCTTGAACAATTCAATTGAATTGTATAAATAGTCATACCCTCTAGTTATTTCCCACTGAGAACAACCTCCTCCGATCATCTGCCAGTGATCGTATTTCTAGTTTGGATGGTGCTAGAAATATTCGCACGCCTCTTGCAGCAGAAAAGGGTCACAATCCAACCGGCTGATGGGGAGATATACTGTCTGTGCCGACAAGAGACCATTGTCCCAGAATTTCTAGGAACACCTACAGGAAACACTGACAAATTTGGGAGTAAAAAGCAGTAGTTTACTGGATTTACTCCTTTAAACCAATTTAATGACATTGGTGAAGGGAAACACGGAGAAATTTGGGAGCATGGATGAACATCCAATTACCCATAGAAAACCCATGCTTCTCATATTTCAATGGATTGATTTAGGGAAACACATGAAAAACTGTTGTGTTATTGGACAAAAACACGTGGTTTCCTCTGGAGTTTCCCTTATATCAACCACCAAATAGATAGAACATTTGGAAACCTGGAAATTATGAGCAAAACATTGTCCATGTGACCCTCTGGTAAACTAACATAACTATGGAAAATCACCATTTTTAATGGTAAAAATCATGAAAAATCACTATAAATGGCAATTTTCAATAGCAAACTGTTGACATAACCAGAGGGTACATCCTGGAAACACTGTTCTATCTTTTTTTTTGGGATGCTACAAACCAATCCATGTCTCTTCACGTCAGTTTCTGGCCGTTCGCGACAGGTGCCAACGGCCACAGTCGTTTGGTTTTGGCGGAGCATGGTATGCCCTTGCCCAATGTCGAGCCTTGGCTCTGGTGAAGTGGATAGTACTGTAAAACATATTCGCAGATTATGGTCAAATTTGATCCCTAATATAAGTTGATATATAATATAAATATATATATATATATTATTAAGCCATATTCACCAATTTATAGAAATATTCACAATTATATCAACTAATTTGACCCTTAATATTCCGTAAAATTTCACCAAATTATAATAGTACATTCCCCTAATATTAAGTACCACCCCCTATTCCAGCAGGCCGTTTAATATTGTTGGGAAGGGATTCATGAAACTGGAAAAAGGGTGCTGTGGGAAAGTGACCCATGGAAAGAAACATGATTTCCAGTGTCGTCGGCCAGAGGTCGTTTTAATTCAGTGAGACATGAACATGGATAATGTGGTAAACATAATCATACACTATCCCCAATAGATGTTGATTTTTGGGTATACCCACATGAGCAGTGTTCAAAACCCCTGTTGGTTGACGATTTTAGGGGATTATACTATTCAATTTATTCGGGATTATAATAACCCAAGCACGGGAAATCCCCAAAAAAACCAGGATTAAATGGAATGACAAAGGGATTTATTTCACACAACCCATATGGGATGATGTAAAATTGGTCAAGGTCTACTAGTCCTTGGTTTACCTTAACCAACTATTGTGGAAAGTGTATTGTACGGGTAAGACCCAAATCTAGAACGTGCAAATTTGGGGATGACTTGTACACTCCTATAAATTAACATAGACCCTGCCAAATAGGGGGTTGGAAGATTACTTTCCACCAAAAGATCTACCTTCTGGTAATTTAACATAGCTATTGAAAATGGCAAGTTATAGTTGATTTACCCATTAAAGATTGTGATTTTCCATAGCTATGTTAGTTTACCAGAGGGTAAAAAGTGTCCTTGTTCAGGATTTGTGAAAATTGTGCGGAAGGTTTTCGCCGAAGTGATGAGTATTTATTGGTGATGAGGTAGACCCGATAATAAAGGATCCCATTTCTAGGTCAATCGACTGGATGGGTAGTTTATATAATCCTAACTAGTCTTCTGGTATGGGATTATCTACGTTCACCAGCTAAGATTTGTTTTTTTTTGCAGGATATCTAAGATTGGCCATGATTCAAATCCAAGATTCAACCTGCTAACCTTTCGGAGGCTGCACCATTTAACCATCGGAACTCACACGCCAACCTCTGCCGCTAACTGGGGCACCAGTTACCAATGGTCGAGCCACGGATGGGTATAATTTGTACAATGTGGGGCCCCCGTTCGATAGTGTTCAGTTGGTGCAAATAACTCCAATTTCACTATGGTTTATGGCGAGCAAATAACTATAGTATTCATGGGGTTTATAAACCAACTTACAACTGGGGGGCCCCACATTGTATAGATTCTAGATATTTCGGTCATAACCTCCAACTGTTACCCTCTGGTAAATTAACAGTTGGACCCTGAAAATATAACCCATAAAAATAGTGGTTTCACTAATCTTCCAACCCCGTTTTCGGCCAGGGTCGTCATCTTAATTCCCCACCTGCCAGGTGAGGGTTGTTAGATTTTATGTCAGTTGCCTCCTCCTCCTGCCTCGTCCTCCTCTCCTCCTCCTCCTCGTCCTCCTCGTCCTCCTCCTGCTCCACTGCGATCCATGTCAGTGTGCCCTGCCGGACCTCAACCACGACCATCCACGTCAGTGTGCCCTGCCGGACCTCAACCACGACCATCCACGCCCAGTGTTCCCTGCCGGACCTCAACCACGACCATCCACGCCCAATGTTCCCTGCCGGACCTCAACCACGACCATCCTCGCCCAGTGTTCCCTGCCGGACCTCAACCGCGACCATCCACGCCCAGTGTTCCCTGCCGGACCTCAACCGCGAGTATCCACGCCAAGTGTTCCCTGCCGGACCTCATGTAGGAAGATATGGGACAAATAATGTGCAGAAGAAAGTTAGAAAGAATGTCAGAAAGAATGTCAGAAGATATGCCAGAAGATATGCCAGATAGAATGCCAAATAGAATGCCAGATAGAATGCCAGATAGAATGCCAGAAGATATGTCAGAATATATGCCAGAAGATATGCCAGATAGAATGCCAGAAAATATGCCAGAAGATATGCCAGATAGATATGCCAGAAGATATTCCAGAAGATATGCCAGATAGAATGCCAGATAGAATGCCAGATAGAATGCCAGAAGATATGTCAGATAGAATGCCAGAAGATATGCCAGATAGAATGCCAGAAGATTTGCCAGATAGAATGCCAGAAGATATGCCAGAAGATATGCCAGATCGTATGCCAGAAGATATGCCAGATAGAATGTCAAATAGAATGTCAGAAGATATGTCAGATAGAATGCCAGAAGATTTGCCAGTAAGAAAATGTATAAATGTCATGGTGGGGATCACACGAAGTAAAGTAATTTATTTATTGGAGTTTTTTAATATTGAACACCCACCAGCTATGGTAGGTTCTAAAGTTTCAACAAATCTGGAGTTCCATGAAAAAGCCACCATGGTTTCTTGGTAGAATCCGCCAACTTACCGGTAGACATGGCGTGCTGGAAAAAAAACTTCATAGATGATTTTTCCTAGCCCTCTTACACTAGAATTTCCCATATCCTATCTGGTTGGTGGTTTGGAACCATGGAATTTTATGTTTCCATAGATTGGGAATGTCGTCATCCCAACTGACGAGCTCATATTTTTCACAAGGGTTGAAACCACCAACCAGACTAGAATTTCCCATATCCTATGATTTTCCCAACTATAAACCATGCTGGGTAAATTATAGTGACCTCACTGGGAATACTGGGACCTCACTGGAATCATGGTTAGAAGGGGGAAATATCGCAATAAAATCCAATAAAGCCTTATTTCTGGTTGGTGAATTATTATAGTTTGCCCAGAATGATGTGGTAAACATAATCATACACTATCCCTAATAGAAGTTTATGTTTGGTTATACCCATATGATTTTCCCAACTATAAACATTATCTGGTTGGTGGTTTGGAACATCAATTGTATGACATGATTTTCCATATATCTGGAATGTCATCATCCCAGCTGACGAACTCCATCATTTTTCAGAGGAGTAGGTATACCACCAACCAGATAGTTATTGGAGTTATCTTCACCAAACCCAATCCCCAGTTATAAATTCGTTTATAAAACCCCATTAACTATCGATTATCACCTCTAAACCATATATCACCTATAAACCATATTGACTAATATGTTTCAAGATGGTTAAAACCACCAACCAGATAAACATTACCCTTTGGTAATTTAACAGTTTGCTATTGAAAATGGCCCAGTCGAAATAGTTGATTTACCCACTAACAATGGTGATTTTCAACAGCTATGTTAGTTTACCAGAGGGAATAAACATAATGAACCACCAACATTGGCTTATAAAACCCCATGAACTATGGATATATATATATATATCACCTATAAACCATATATCACCAACCAGGTAAACATTATAAACATCCATTTCAATGTCCCTGACCGACCCAAAAAAAAAACCGTGAGCCGTCCATGTTCTCCAAGGACGGACTGCCAGCCGACTGGGTGGACGAACTCCTTGATCCGCTGGACCCGGGAGAGACGGCTGGAAATTGCTGTGAGCCTTGAGGATTTCACCAATTAAAATGGGGGGGTATAAGGCAACTACAATGGTAAGTTGGCGGATTCTACCAAGAAACCATGATGGGAGTTTCATGGAACTCCAGATTTGTTGAAACTTTAGAACCTACCATAGCTGGTGGGTGTTCAATATAAAAAAACAACTCCAGTAAATTAAGATGACGACCCTGGCCGAAAACGGGGTTGGAAGATTAGTGAAACAACTATTTTTATGGGTTATATTTTCAGGGTCCAACTGTTAATTTACCAGAGGGTAACAGTTGGAGGTTATGACCGAAATATCTATACAATGTGGGGCCCCCCAGTTGTAAGTTGGTTTATAAACCCCATGAATACTATAGTTATTTGTTTGCCATAAACCATAGTGAAATTGGAGTTATTTGCACCAACTGAACACTATCGAACGGGGGCCCCACATTGTATAATGTGAATGTAGATGGATATAGGATAGTATGATATAGGATGATATAGGATGATATAGTAGGATATAGTATGCTAAATAGATGTATATATACATATAATAGGATAAAATGGGGATTTTGGATGGTAATAAGATAGATGATGTAACCAACCAACTAAAATTGCCATAGGAAGACTTATTTGTCACTACATGGGATTTTGGACCCTATTCGGAAAATGACCCATCGAAATTTGGGGTTTAGCCAACAACTGGTTGGTGGTTTGGAACATGAATTTCATACATTTCCATAGATTGGGAATGTCATCATCCCAACTGACTTTCGCTCCATCATTTTTCAGATGGGTAGGTCAACCACCAACCAGTATAATTATAGATATATCACCTATAAACCATAGTTATTTTTCTAGATATATCACCTATAAACCATAATAAAGTCAATAAAGATCAAGGGACAGAAATCATGGCTGGATCTTCACAATCTCCATGGACGAAATCAAGGTCACCTCCAAGCACCTGCATTCGAGCGGTTTCACGGGTCGGAGTAGCCTCTGGTAACTTATCGCTATTGAAAATGGCCGTAGAAATAGTTGATTTACCGATTTACCCATTAAAAATAGTGATTCTGATTTTCCATAGTTTATTGTATGTTTACCAGAGGGTAATGTATGTTAATCAACTATTGTCCATTTATTTTCCAAGGTAATTTTCCGTAGCTATACGTTGAACTCAACATGTGTGGGATCATCTTTTGCAGGTGGATGCTTAAAGAACTATATCTTCAGCAAGGTATCGATGCGTATAGGTAAAAAGCGACGGATCCTCACCATAAGACCGGTGGTTAGTAACGAGAAGCTGCCAAAGATCAATCACTATTTCAGGTTGGTTGATTATGGTGGAATTTGGGTGAACTGTTTAAGCCATCATTTTGCCAGGTAGGAGTTGTTTTCGCCTTTGGTGAGTTGGTAAAAGGTTTACAACGCTTCAACAGCCAATGTTAGGTGCTTGAATATGTTCATGAAGAAGTTCTAAGCAGTTTATAATCAGGGTTATAGCATGTTATAGCGCAGTTGTGTTTGGAATAGTCTTAGTTTTTCTTTTTTTAATACATATATATATATATATATAGAGAGAGAGAGAGGGTGCGCCCTGAGTCAGTGATAGTTACCAAGTGGGCTACCCATCACCAGCACCTACTGGGTGTATGCCCCATCTTTGGGAAAATCGCAGAGGATGGGGGCCCCGTTCGAGCTCGCGTTCAGTTGCCGAACAGAAAAATGGCTGAATTCTCTAGTTTATGGTAGATATAACATGATATATCTATAGTAGTCATGGGGTCTATAAACTGGATATTTATAACCCATCTAATTTTATCTACTGGTTATATAAACTGGCATTTGCAATGGGACTTATAACTGCAATTCTGTCCCATTGCAAAGAGCCTGCTTGGAGGAACTGACGCGCTGCTCAGCCGTGCTATCTTTCGACAGGCCATTCCAAGGGTTGAGCAGTTCCCAGCCCCACTTACAAGGTGGTGCCCCCAAGATAGCAAAGTTGCTGCAAATAACTCTCATAATTATATTATATGGTTTGCAGGTGATATAGCTATAGTTAAGGGGGATTATAAACAAATAAATAGGTTAGTGGTGATTTCACGATCATATCGTGCATCCTCAGAATTGATAAATGATCAATGGGAATTCAATGATCCTAAAATGGAGGTACTGTACCATGATCCTAAAATGGTGAGACAGATGTAGGTGGTGATGATGATGATGGTGGTGGTGGTGATGATGGTGGTGGTGATGGTCAAAATGGTCATGATGGTCATGATGTTCGTGATGGTCGTGATGATCGTGATGGTCGTGATGGTCATGATGGCCATGATAGTCATGTTGGTCAAATGGTCATGATGGTCATGATGGTCATGATGGTCATGATGGTCATGATGGTCATGATGGTCATGATGGTCATGATGGTCATGTTGGTCAAATGGTCATGATGGTCATGATGTTGACGATAATGATGATTGGTGATCGATGGTTGATGACATCGATAATAAATTTCGGAGATTTGGTTTTGAAGACTGGCGATTGATGATCATGGTGCTGATCATGACGACTATGACAATGATAAAGACCATCGCATCATTGTCGAAAGTTCCGCACTGTTCAGATGAGACAATGATGCATGTGGGAAATCAATTTCCCAGCGAACTTCAACCTCACCCGGACAAGCGAAGAGAAGGGAGAGTGGGCTAGTTACTCTCCTGAATCAATGCTGATTCTATCATTTTAATTGCCTGTTTATTGCTAGTATGGTTTGATTGGACTTGTTGACTGAGAATCCCAATGAGAATCATTGCTGAATTTGCTGGATTTGTCTCCTTGGCTTTGGCGAACTGTGCCATTTCTAGAGTTCAAATTCCCCATAAGGATCAGATTCTTTCATGCCTCTTGCCTCCAGTTTTGAAACACTTCTATAAACTCATATATCTGGGTAAATTATAACGACCTCACTGCGACCTCACTGGAATCATGGTTAATAAGGGAAATCATCCCCAAATGGCCTTAATTCAGGTAAAGAGTTCCTCTTAGTCACTGGCCTGCAGGCTGTTAGCGCACTGCAGGGACCGCAAGAAGTCCCCAAATGGCCTTAATTCAGGTAAAGAGTTCCTCTTAGTCACTGGCCTGCAGGCTGTTAGCGCACAGAAGTCCCCAAATGGCCTTAATTCAGGTTAGTGAAATATTATTTCATTTACCCATATATATATATCACCAACAATTTGATATATATATATATATATTGTAATTTACCCAGATATATAAGCTCTTCATTGAACTTTCAGGCAGGGGAAATCACGGCATCAGCCGATCGCTACGATAAGGTCATTGTGGGGAACTACCAGGTCTATGCCACGATGTACAACATTGGGGATGAGGTCATTGACCTGTGCCCAGACGGCATCCAGATGCTCGTCTTCGCATTATTTCGCATTTGGTGCAAGTTGCAGTACATCAGCCAGCCGGCCCTGCCGGCCCTGCTCCATGTGGTGAACAGCATGAGCATTCAGATCCAGACATTCTGAGGGCCAAATCCGTCGCCTCATGGAAGATCCAGACAGGACATCTTCTTGGACGTGCAGTGCAGACCATTGCTTATATACTAATACCCATAGGATCCATGTATGCTATAGTTGGTAACATTTACCATCAATATACCACCAATGTTAGCATATATACCAGCACCATGGATCCTATGGGTATAAATTGGGCATCCCAATCATTGGAGGTTTAATACGCGTAATGGACTCAGGTCAATCTGTGGTCCTAGGGTCTAAAATGGCTTGACCATGCTTGACCCATCCCCATATGAGCCATCCCTATCCCATCTGAAATACAGCCGTTGGTTGAAACCGCTTTCCCTGGTTTCCCTATGGGTTATCATAAATTCCCCAGTAAACTAGCTAGTATAAGATGTATAAGTATAAGCCCTTAATTCCTAGGTCAATCTTGGATGAGTACTTTAATCCTTTAGTCTTCTGGTATCAATGGAACTATCTCCGTTCACCAGCCAAGAATTTACCTTTTGTTTTGCAGGGTATCTGGCTGATTGGCCATATATCGAACTAGTTAATGTGGGCCATCACGAATTCAGCTAACTATTGGGTACCTTGTCCAGCGCCACAATCTGTCACTGGCTGGCTCATCCCACGAATCGTAAGTGGGTTATAACCCCAGTTATAAGTGGATTAACCCTACTTATCCCATGTAAATCACTGGGGTTATAACGCACTTACGATTCGTGGGTAGTTCGCCACCAAGTAGCCCATATTACAATGGCAAACTCCCCGTCTCCCCATCCCCCGTCGTGATCCATCGAAGTTTCCAGGCACCGCTTGCCGCAGTACTTCCTACGCCTGAACGAGGCGAAAAAAGGTGATTTTTCAGCGGAAAAATCGAGGATTTTCACGAACAACAAGGGAATTACATGGATTATAAATGGTGATTTTCCATAGTTATGTAAACGTTTACCAGAGGGTATATATGGGATAATGGGATTTACTGCTGGTTGGTGGTGACTGGAACCATGGAATTTTATGAATTTCCATTCAGTTGGGAATGCCATCATCCCAACTGACGAACTCATATTGTTCAGAGGGGTAGGTCAACCACCAACCAGCTGGATTTAACCCCAGAAAAAACGTGATGAATCATAATAAACTGGATTTAAGCCACAAAGAGTTTGATTTGAAGCTACAAAAAATTGTTTTTTTCAGCCAATTCAAGCCACACAAAACTGGATTTGGCAAAGACCATGCCAATAAGAATCTGAATATTCATATAATTTCACAAGATTTACCCTCTGGTAAACTAACATAACTATAGAAAACCACCATTTTTTATGGGTAAATCAACTATAAATGGGTTAGTTTACCAGAGGGTAAGTGGTTCAACCTTAAGAATGAGTCGTTTTCGTCGACGAATCGGAGATGATCGGATAGCGAACTGCGAAATGCAGCTTTTTGTTTACACCTCGAAATCTATGTACCTATTAATGGCATGGTGATTTTCCATACTTATGTCAGTTTACCAGAGGGTATATATATACATAGATATATATATATATTATATATATTATATATATATATGGGATAATAGGATTTACTGCTGGTTGGTGGTTTGGAACCATGGAATTATATGAATTTCCATTCAGTTGGAAATGTCATCATCCCAACTGACGAACTCATATTTTTCAGATGGGTAGGTATACCACCAACCAGTTTGTCACTTGCTTGTTTGTCAATATATCTGGGATTACAATAAGTTACAATAATCCAATAGGGGAATCCCTGATAGAGGGCTTTTGAAGACTGCTCAATTGTCTATTGAAAAGTCATGTTTTCAATGTAATTCCATTTTTTCAAAAAATGGCAATCTCATTGTGGATTGGAATATTACAATCGTTTGCAAAACATACCCTCTGGTAATTTCACATGTCTATGGAAAATCACACTTGTAAATTACTAAATCATCTGTAAATGAGCAATTCTCGATAGCTGTGTTAAATTTGATTACCAAAAGGTAAGTCATTTGTGGGAAGATTAAGAACTCAATCATTGAAGACTGGTTATAGCCCCAGCTCTGTTGGGTTTGGACAAACCCATAACATTTGCTACTCTCTCGTAAATTAACATAGACCCTGAACATCTCATATGTGTAGTGGAAACTAATCTTCCAACCCCTATTTGGCAGGGTCTATGTTAATTTCCCAGAGGGTAGATTTTTTTCTTCCAGTGGTTGCATGATTAATAGCGAGTGACCCCACCGTTGAAAAAAACAACATGGATTGGATGGAAATGATATGCCATACCGAGCATTTACCTTTTGGTCGGACATGGTGCAACCATTATTGAACAACAGGCTATGACATGGCAGCATGTCAATCAGCTGGATTTGAGGAAATCATGTTATTCAACCAATAGATCAATGGGTTCCACCAACGAAATGCAACTAGAATTTCACTGCCAAACATGGTGATTCGAAGTACCATTTGGTCATTTAACAGTTCGCCATGGAAAATCACCATGCTATTAATAGGTAAACCTCTATTTCTATGGGCCATCTATACCATGGCGAACTGTTAGTCATAGCCAGAGGGTAACACTTCGTAGCATTTCGAATCCCAAGAACTTGGGAGAGAATTCAACCACCGGGGTCGGAAGACCATTTCGACCATCCTTGGGCATCGAAAGGCTTCACAGCTCATCCTTCATTGGGGTGCCACCCAACTCTTTGAGGCAAAAACTGGGAGAGTTGGGGGCACTGGGGCAGGACTGGGGTTAGTTTCATGATGTTGCATGGGTGTAACTATATTACTGGGTAAATGGGTCAATTATAACGACATCACTACGACCTCACTTGAATGATGAAGGGAAATTATCCCAATATAGCCTTATTTCAGGTTTGTGAATTATTATAATTTGCCCAGACTACATGGCATTTCATAATTTCCATAAGATGGGACAACTCCCTCGAAGTGCTGTCCCTGGTTGATGGAAGATATATCGAACTTGTTAATTGGGGCTATAACGAACGGGTAACACCTTGTACAGCTGGATGTGCCACAATCTGTCAGTGTCTAACCCAGTAATTCTCCGGTAGATTACAGAGAGATATGGAACATCCCTTCATAGGGAAAGGTGAGGTTTTACCCTGAGGATCGAAGTAGACAAATAGGGCAGTATCGGCACAGTAGGTCCCACAAGGATACTTTTCTGACAAGGGTACCTTTTGATAAGTGAATTTATAATACCACCTTTTGATCCTCAGGGATATATATATATTGTTTTGTTAATTTTCCGGAGGATATTTAAATGGGAAAATGCAGTTGCAGTGGTACCACATTCTAAGTAGAATGACTATATAATGACTATACTTGGATGCGATGATATGATGACATGATCCACTTGAACATGTTACTTGGTGGCTCATCCCAGTTAAGTGGGTTAGTTCACCCTAGTTATAAGTGGGATAAGCAGGGTTACCCTCTGGTAAACTAACATAGCTATTGAACATAGTTGATTTATCCATTAAAAAATGTGATTTTCCATAGTCTTGTGTATGTTTACCAGAGGGTAATGTATGTTATATAATCCACTTAATCCACGGTGAACTAAGCCACAAAAGCCCAGATGAACTTTTGCTGGGCGATCAAATCCACGGCGAATCGTGGGACCTGCGAGGTTAGCCCCGTTGGCTGTTGGCCTTTTTGGAAAAGGATATAATTTAATGTTTACCCTCTGGTACAATGTGGGGCCCCCAAGATAGCTAAGTTGGTTTATAACTCCAATAACTATGGTTTATGGTACTTATAACTATAGTTAATGGGGTTTATAAGCCAACTTACAACTGGGGGGCCCCACATTGTAACCTATACATTTATATAACAAATATATATATATATATACACACCATAGCGGGGCCTTTGAGCAAGGCCCAGAAAAGTCCCCCAGAAGTTCTGAAATGCCTTTGCCGTGAGAGTGTGACACCGGGATCTGTGGGTGGCTTTTTCGCGGATGACTCAGAGTGGTGTTTGCGGCTTTGTTTTGCTGAGGATTTGGCAGGTGGCGGCAGCTACGATGCCTTGCCAACACATTTTCTAGGGCTCATGGAAAAAGAATTTAACTTGAATTTTGAAAATGCACGGCAAAGATCGTCGTGGAAAGTCAAGGGCCTGTTGCGGCGGGTCAAATTATGTTTTTGGCCCACGGACAAAACACCCAAGTTTCAGCAACGTTGCCTGGACAGACATGGAAACGTGTTTCTCAATTCGTACCTGCTGATCATTTTCGCTACATGTCACATGGCGGAATGCTTGAGGAGGAAATTTGTCCAAAGTATCAGCAGTCTTTTGTGCTGGGTTGTTGTTTTTGTTGATTCTCTTTTGAACACGTAGCTAAAACTTGGATGTTCATCTCTCCAAATATGGTAATTATACATGTTTATCTGGTTGGTGGTTTGGAACATGAATTTTATGAATTTCCATTCAGTTGGGAATGTCACCATCCCAACTGACGAACTCCATCATTTTTCAGAGGGGTAGGTATACCACCAACCAGGTATAGTAAATTAAATAGTTACCCTCTGGTAAATTAACATAGACCCTGAAAATATCCCATGCTTAGTGGAAACTAATCTTCCAACCCCTATCTACCAGGGTCTATGTTAATTTACTGGAGGGTATCATTGGAGTTGGGTTCACAAGATTACAATCCCTTTCCCCTGGAAATAGACTTCAAACTGTTAAAGACTCTAAAACTTCGAAATTGTCGGATAATCATCATCCGTTATTTATAACATTTTTGAACATCATTCAATGTAGTGCCACGCAGTTGTGTTTGTTGATTTATAAACCCACATTTCATACACCCTATTTGGATATTCGTGACTTAAACCAACTTAGCTGACGAACTAGGGCACCATCTTGTAGTACGTGGCATAACCCCTTTAAAACCAATAGGTTGTATGAGTAGCCGACCAAATTAGTGGACGACTAAAGTAGTAGGGAGTGGACTTGGGATGTTCAAATTTGTGTCAAAACCCTCACAACCGATAGGGGACCACCCACTTACCGATACCCTATTTTACACATAGCATGGAAGTACACGATAGGGACCATGTCCATTACGAGTAGCAAGTAATTTTGTCCGCCACTCATATGTTATATTCCACATGTTAAAACCCATAATGACTGGATTATAAACGACTGGACTATGAATCAACTTAGACCCCGAAATGTGTAATCTTAAGACACCAAACCAGATAAGCTACTTGGTGGCTCATCCCACTTAGTAAGTAGGTTAGTTCACCCCAGTGATTTACATGGGATAAGGAGCGGGTTAATCCACATCAATCACTGGGGTGAACTAACCCACGACCACGAGCCGTGGGTAGTTCGCCACCAAGTAGACCAGTTCTTTATGATTTTCAATGGGGATAGACTCAGTTGACTCATCAACCCGTTCTGGGAACCCAGCCTGGGCGTCGCAGGTGTCTGTGGGCGGATCACCGACCTGGATCGGCGATGCGGTGGCCAACCGCTTCACCCTGCGGTGCAAGGTGCCGAGCCGAGTCTGTTGGGAAAACGCAGCGATCTTTGTTTATTAAAGGCCCTCTACGGCTGTATTAATGCCATATTTATAGTTGATGTATCCATGAAGATACCCATGAATCTGTATGGTTACAAGATGTTATAAGATGTTGTAAGATGTTATAACTACTATAAATCCCGAGCAGGACCTAGTCAGATACCAACTTAGCTATGGGACCCCAGCTAGTATGATATCGTTGGGAGAAACCCAATAGCAGCGCATTCCATTCATCAACATCAACTACTTGAGATTAATGCTGGTTAAAAGTTAAAAGTTGTTAATGGTTGTTTAATAATGGTTAATAGTGCTTAATAACGGTTAATAGTGGTTAATAGTGGTTAATTGTTGGTTAATTGTTGGTTAATAGAGATTGATTGTCGGTTGATTGTGTGCAATTTCTGCTTAATAATGGTTAATTGATGATACAGTTGGATATCAGGCGGTGATGGCGAAAGAGAGGAATTGGGTACAATCAAGGGATAGCACCTGTGCATCAAGAACGGGGTACAAGGAGAACACCTTAGGAGTAAAGAAACAAATGACTTCGGAAACTATATCTGAAATTGTACATGAACCTTAGTACGCGGGAGCGCAGCGGAGTGATGTAGGGAGGGGTCTTCAAGGTCCCCTCTTTACATCAGTGATTATCTGAAGTGCACTAGTCCAAAACCATAAAACATTTGGATCCAAGGCCATCTAGGAATGGGTGTCAACCTGCCGTTGAAATTGATCATGAGATCACAGGTAAATCCATACTGTATTGATTATAATACATTATTGGCTGATCTTGTGACCACTTGGTGGCTCATCCCACGGCTCGTAAGTGGGTTATAACCCCATGTTATAAGTGGATTTAACCCATTTTAACCCTACTTATCCCATTTGTAACTGGGGTTGTAACCTACTTACCAAGTGGGATGAGCCACCAAGCAAGTGGGCACTGACCTTATCCCAATTTCAATAAACCAACGGGTCAAAGATTCAATCATTACATCATGTTCAATGGATCACCCTTAGCCAAATGGGCATACATCACCCTTAGCCAAAAAACGAATGGGTCCATCGTCTAAGGAGTTAGTGCCATTAGAAAATACGACAAGGTGTCAACGGGTGATTTCCCAAGAAAACACACAACCCAAAACTCAAATTGTGGGTTCTAATGTGGAATCAAATTATGTCAAACTCCCTGAACACCAGTGCGAGCATTTAAGATAACCAAAATCACAAACAATGGGACCTCAGATTAAACCTGGTGAAACACCACACACGAAATGTTTGACTACCTTAAATGCCGGCCAGTTAAATGTATTTGTTTCCAAATAGAAGCTTCACGAATATGGGGGTTTCCTGAAATAGGGGTATAGTATCCCTAAATCATCCATTTTAATAGGTTTTTCCATTATAAACCATCCAGCTATTGAGGTTACCCCCCATTTATGGAAATGTATATTGACACATCTGGTATAACTATCATCTAATCAATGTCTTATTACTATTTACTATTTATATATGGCAACCCATATATCGAACTACTTGATACCCTCTGGTAAACTAACATAACTATGGAAAATCACCATGTTTAATGGGAAAATCCACTATAAATGGTCATTTTCAATAGCTACGTTAAATTACCAGAGGGTAAGTGTAAACTAAACCAGCACACATAGTTTGACAAAAAAACTGCGTCCGTGTCCGGCGCCAGGATGGACAGAGTTTCCGTTGCATGGCGCCTTTGGAAGCCCACAGTCCAAGGCTTGCAGGTGCGAAATCCTGCAGTTATGGTCATTTATCAGTTATAAGTACTTATAATCCCATTTATAGAATGTATAATCCCATTTATGGCCAGTTATAACTGGTAAATGGCCATAACTGTGGGAATGAGGGAGACTTTTGGTGCGAAAGGGGCTGCAGTTGAGGTAATAATAATGGTGCAGATCCCTTGTGAACAACTGCATTATTGGTTTGGATAGAGCCAATCAGCTAAAACTCCCAATTGTTCACTGTAATTACCCTCTGGTAAACGTTTACAGTTTGCGAACTGGAAAATCACCATTTTTAATGGGAAAACTCACTATAAATTGCAAGTTTCCATAGTTATGTTAGTTTACCAGAGGGTAAATATCCAATGAAACTAACTGACTAACAAAACCTCCCCTGAGCTGCTCGTGGGTGCCCCATATTGGAATTGCGAGTCGTTGGTTTTGTTCACCAATATTTCACTAGGGTCTTTTGGTAGATATACAAGGTGGTGCCCCCCCATTTATAAATTAATTTATAATCCCCATTAACTATAGATATATCACCTATAAACCATAGTTATTGGAGTTATTTGCAGCAACTTAGCTATCTTGGGGGCACCACCTTGTAACGTGGTCTATAATGGGATGAAATCAAGCCAACAAACAGAGCTTCGAGGAATGGGCTAACCTTGCTTATCCTACTTCACTGGTGGTTATAAACAGTTATAAACCGATGAACATAACCATTGAACACCTATATTCTAGGCAAAGCCGGCAAAGCCGGCAAAGCCTTAATATTCGTCAATTTATATCTGATGTTCCTATACCCATAGGATCCATGTATAGTATATATGCTAACATTGGGGGTATATTGATGGTAAATGTTACCATATATAGCATACATGGATCCTATGGGATATATTTCATTGGTGATAAACTAACTGTCACATTTTCGAATGCTGACTGTCGAGGATCACGAAAATCGTGGTGAATATCGGTAGGTTCTCCATGCTTGTCCCATAAAAAAAAAAAAACATGTTAAAAAAAAAACTCATTGAGACGGCGTAAATGTGGCTAGACTTATAGATTTTAGAAAAACCCATGTGGGTTTTCTTGTGGGACTTGTAGATTTTTATTTCTTTAAGCCCCTGGTAAAACTGGATCAAACTTCACCAAGATTTGTAGATCATTTTCCTAAGAGACACCAGGCTTTTCCACCAGGGTTTTCGTTGATGAAAACAGGCTACAATTAGTGAGGCCAGTGACGTGGTGTGAATGTTGGTTTATAAATAAGCCCCAGTAACTAGTTCGTTATTTAAGCGTACCATAAACCATAGTGAAATTGGAGTTATAAGCCCCATTAACTATAGATATATCACCTATAAACCATAGTGAAATTGGAGTTATTTGCACCAAGTTAGCTATCTTGGGCCTCACGACTTGTACGATTCATTGGGATGATCCTCCAAGTAGAAAAACCCACGGCCTGCCGGCTGGGTATTTTTTTTTAAAGACATGATGAAATGTCGCTTCAGTCATTTCGGCCATCTCAGCCAAAAACTTCGGTTTCAACTGTTTGAAGGAGATTCTTGCCGGGTCAGCTGCCATTCTTGCACATGTTTTGCACTTTTTTGATATTCACACACCCTGGGGAACATGGGTAGATATGTAGCATGTCAAAGTCCAAATATGCATTGAAAACAACCAAAATAATTTACGCCGTTTGGTTGGAAATTTACGCTGCTTGGTTGGGAATTTATGCCGTTTCAGTTTGTCACCTTTTTGGTAGAGGTTTATATCCATACCAAACCTCAGAAAAAAGTGTATATCCTATTATTATATCCAAGTATTATCCATTTATCCGAATTTACACATGAATCCATCATTATACCATCCTTCTATCCCAAGTATCCGAATCATATCCATTTTTTTATCCCAGAAAAAATCAATGTATATCATACCCATCCCAGTTGCGTTAAACACGCAGTGGAACCGCAGGCGTCTTGTCAGCCGTCTCCTTTCTGTGTCCCAAAGCTTTGGCCGAGTCCTTGATGAGCGACGTGCAGGCGGCGTCAGCGACGGTTTAAATCCCGTTCGAGGAGAGCGTGAACCGTTGCCGAAAATAAGTGGCTGAATTCTATATATGTGATATGGTAGATATAACTATATATAGTTAATATGGGGGTTATAATGGTTTATAAACCAACAAACTGATATGGTAGATATAACTATATATAGTTAATATGGGGTGTATAATGGTTTATAAACCAACAAACTGATATGGTAGATATAACTATATATAGTTAATATGGGGGTTATAATGGTTTATAAACCAACAAACTGATATGGTAGATATAACTATATATAGTTAATATGGGGGTTATAATGGTTTATAAACCAACAAACTGATATGGTAGATATAACTATATATATTTAATATGGGGTTTATAATGGTTTATAAACCAACAAACTGATATGGTAGATATAACTATATATAGTTAATATGGGGGTTATAATGGTTTATAAACCAACAAACTGATATGGTAGATATAACTATATATAGTTAATATGGGTTTTATAATGGTTTATAAACTAACAAACTGATATGGTAGATATAACTATATATAGTTAATATGGGGGTTATAATGGTTTATAAACCAACAAACTGATATGGTAGATATAACTATATATAGTTAATATGGGGGTTATAATGGTTTATAAACCAACAAACTGATATGGTAGATATAACTATATATAGTTAATATGGGGGTTATAATGGTTTATAAACCAACAAACTGATATGGTAGATATAACTATATATAGTTAATATGGGGTTTATAATGGTTTATAAACCAACAAACTGATATGGTAGATATAACTATATATAGTTAATATGGGGGTTATAATGGTTTATAAACCAACAAACTGATATGGTAGATATAACTATATATAGTTAATATGGGGGTTATAATGGTTTATAAACCAACAAACTGATATGGTAGATATAACTATATATATTTAATATGGGGTTTATAATGGTTTATAAACCATCAAACTGATATGGTAGATATAACTATATATAGTTAATATGGGGTTTATAATGGTTTATAAACCAACAAACTGATATGGTAGATATAACTGTTTTATAACTTTATAGTTAATGTGGGTTAGAGTGTTTAATGGTTTATAAACCAACATTCACATCACTGGATATAACTATATAGAAAATGGGGGTTATAATGGTTTAATAAACCAAAATTGACCATAAAAACGGGGGCGCCATCCCGAACAGAATAGAATTCTATTGTAGGGTTTATATGGATTATGGTAGATATAACGAACTAGTTTTCATGGGGTTTCTGTTGACCAACAAACATAATAATTGGTGGCACCATCCTGGCAAGGCTTTCCCCTGCAGTGGTAGGAAAAATCCCCATTGGGTCGGTCATGTTCTACTGGAGCCTGGAGGGTTAATATCCCTGGTTATAGTGGGATAAATAGGCTGGATCCACTGATTACGTGGGATGACCAGAGCTGGTGGTGAAGGGGTGGTAAGTTTACCATGAAGAAATGGGGTTGAAAGAGTCGAAGCAATGGCATGTTTTAAAGATCTGTTAAGCTTGTTTTTAAGGTGGTTTCAAGATGGTTTGAGATGGTTTTAAGGGTCAAACATGATTGTTTAATATAGGTGAATCAATATGAATGCGGGTTTCAATGGGGAGTTACCATCAGTAGACCTTGGTAAAGGGTGTGCACAACCAACGAAAACTAACTGGTCAAAGTTTGATACATCTGGGTAAACCAACTGGTGATGTGCAGTTTAAAAACGTTTAATACCTACCGTAGATCTGTGCATAGGGATTTATGCAACCCAACTTCCAAAGCAAGTGCAGGGTATGGGATTTTCATGAATTTTCAGCATTGAAATGGAAATAACATGTATTTTTTCCCTGGTAGGTGGATATCTTTGGCTCTATTCATACGTTTTTTTTCCCATGGCTGGACTTCAATGGTACTGACATGTACTGACAAAAATTCTGACGATTCTTTTGCTGTAACTGGGGATACTACTTGGATTTTTGTAGTTTAATCCTTCAGTTTCTTGCTATAAACCTGGGCAAATTATAACGACCTCACTGTCTTCCCTCACTGGGAATCATAGTTAGTAAGGGAAATCATCCCCAAATGGCCTTAATTCAGGTTTGTGAATTATTATAATTTGCCCAGATAAATGGAAAATAACCACAAACAGCAAAAGATCATTTTTTTTGTGGACTACCAAAGATTGACCATCATATACACATAATATACGCATTATTTTTTCTAAGCTCACAGTCTGCAAACACAACAAATTCCACAAAGCCTCTTGAAGGGTAGGATTGACCATGGGATTTGTTGATTCTATTCCCAAGAGTTTCTTCCGGCGCTTAAGTGACCTCCAGACACTTTGAGAAGATTTGTTTGAATGAATCTTGACCTATCACTGGGAATAATGTTGGTAAAACAATGTCATAAACCACCCATTTGGGAATGGTAACCATACCACCTGCGAACTTTTTCCAGGTTTTGGACTCAAGCGCTGCGGTGCGCAGGGTATGTTCTGTACATGCATGCTGTTGACATAGTTGCACAAGACAGCTGTAAGCGGAAAGAAGAAAGCCACAGGAAAACAATTCAACTATGAAAAAGAAAATGAAGAAACCAGAAAAGGAATTAATGGGTCTAGGAAAGCAGAATGGTTGAAGTGGGAAAAGTTCAATCTCAGCCCAGAGGTCAGAAGCTATCGCAAGTGGTCCTTCATCTTGAAAGATGATGGCAGTGGGAAGAGATTGAGACCAACGAATCAGCTGAGGACGAGACGGCAGATCGACCAGCTGCAGCAGGGAGCTTACATGGCAAGCGCTGCGGTGCGCAGGGTATGCTCTGTACATGCTGTTGATATGGTTGCACAAGACAGCTGTACATTTAACATGGTGCATTTTCACCACCTATAGAAGTGGTGATTTGGGGGATGGTTTATGGCATTGTTTTACCACAATATCTTGGGCCATTGGGGAATACTCACCACGAAATAGGACCTCTACAGAGTTGAAACAATGGGCTTTGGGGGGTGAACATGGACCAACTAAGCCCAACTAAGCCCAACCTCTCTAGAGGTTTTGTTACCCTCTGGTAAACGTTTACATAGCCATGGAAAATCACCATGCTATTAATGGGTAAATTAACTATTTCTATGGCCATTGTCAATAGCTATGTAACAAATTACCAGAGGGTAGTTTTGTTCCCAATGTTTTGAAACTTCCGGCAATTTTTTTTGAACCTGAACTAACCTGAACTGAAAAAAGATACTCCAACCCCCCAAAAGAACACCGGCGAAAACAAAAACAGGTTTGGTGCATTGTTGACGGCTCCGGTGGTCGCGAGAATGAGGATGAAGATGAGGAGAGTTTCCGATCACTGGCCTCCATCAGTTGGGGTTTCTAGCGTTTTTTTGGACCTCACTGGCCGGTCTCACTTTGTCACTCTGAAAATATGATAATTACCACGAAATCCATTGTTTTATCATCATTGTCCCGATGAAAATAGACATTTGGAAGGTATACACCATTTCTAGACACACCAATATAGATGGAACATTTACTCTTCAATAGCCAGTACATTGAATGCATACCCTTTCTGATTGGTTATGTTGCCAGTTTTGGTGGTTAAAACATGTTTAAGCTTGTTTTGCTGGCCATTTACTACCCATTTTCTAGCATAACCTTTGTTTGGTAGGCGAGGTAGCAACCTTTCACTTATTTTGATGTGGACGTAGCTCATCCAGAAAACACAGATACAGTGTTTGCAGGGTAGGTTGTCGCTTATTCCCCATAAATACACCATTGAAATGGACATCAGCCACGCTGGCCACACTTTGGTTTGATTTGCCCAATTATTTCTGGCTCGATGAACTCCACATTCTATCCACTAAAGTTTTTGGAGCTTCAAAGCCGTCAAAAGCAACACATCTTTTATATTCTTTTATTTGCGGCAGCTTTTTGTGGTGTATATCCCACTTTTGAAGCGCCCAGTCATCGCTCCAGGAATGGTGGCGTTTCTGTGAGCTATTCTTTTGCCTCTTGGAACAGGCGGACTTGGGAGTTCACCGAATTGGTCAAGTAGCTCGGTGAAGAACGGTAGGAGCGAATGGTCATTTCCTGTAGCCTCTGGTAAACGTTGACTTAAGTATGGAAAATCACGATTTTCAATGGGTAAATCCACGAACTAAATGGCCATTTTCAATAGCTATGTTAAATTGCTAGAGGGTAGTTGTTTCGACGATTTTGATATGTGAACAACACCAGCTAAAGCTTTGGTAACTCTCCTGTAGGGGCACCCGTAAGGATAGTGCTTTATGGGGGATGAAACAAGGTCAAAATGTGACCCTCACCCGGAATGACCACGATAGCATGCTGCGGAATGTTTCCACATGATGCAGGTCCTCAAATGGGTCGTTCCTGGTCCTCAAATATCCTCTGGTAAACTAACATAGCTATGGAAAATCACCATGTTTAATGGGAAAATCCACTATAAATGTCCATTTTCAATAGCTATTTTGACATAACCAGAGGGTATCCTTTAACGCGAGCTGCGAAAAAAAAGTCTGGCATTTTTTTGTTTGGACCAGTTTTTTGTTATGGTCCATTCAGATAGTGTCAACATGTGTATAATGTAATAATTGTAATGCACTCCGCTGATAAAAAATGGGGCTTTTTTTTACCCCAAAATTTCCTCCAAACAGTGATGAATTACTATAACTGGTATGTAATGGGCAGTATTTAGTAATAATTTTATTTACTATTTACTATATTTACTACCAGGATTAATAATTCTAATCACTACTATATTTATTAATCCTGGTTTGACGTTGACTAGAATTGAGCTATGGCCTGTTTCAGATTTTCAGGGTGTTGGGAGGATATTCTTGGAGCAGACTTCACATTGACCTGCAGCATTAGCCGCATGCAAGGCGGGCCCCTAGATGGCCATGTTGGCTTAAAACGTGGTGAACCAGAGGGTATATCCC